TTTACAAAGTTCGCACTAGCCAGTGTCCGCTTTAGCTTGAATCATTGTTAGAAGTGTTCCAGTTTTCTTGCAGTAGTGGTCTAATTCATAAAACTAGGTCATCAGCTAGTGATCAGCTCTGTATTCTGCTCTATTTAGCCATTAATTCCAACCAAGGCCTGCCAGTTCTTGGTTCTCTATCTGTATATTTTCCTTCCAGATGTCTTCAAGGGCACATGAACTTTGTTTCTCATAGAAAGACCAACTTAGAATCCCCAAAAGGTGGCCTTCCTTCTCAGTTTTCCTGTGGTGTAATGTTCTTGCTAAAGCACACACGTGATGAAAGTACAATATTCTGATATTTTCCCTGAAACAATTTTGAGGACACTACTGACATTTTTATATTGCCGTTTTTATCATGTGCAGCTATGGCTGGGTGAATAGTCTATTGCATTGTGTCACCTGATTTTGTTTTGTAAGAAAAACATCCTTAGCCTTTGAGCCACTGGCTTTCCCTGAATAGACTATAGAACCACAACACTGATGACCTCTAAGGTGAACTGCTCGGGTTATTGTTGTTTTCTTGCCAATGGAGACTGAAAATGTATAGGCCGAAAAGCTAAACTGATACCAGTGGCAGCAGTTGCCCACTAGACTTGCCAGGGCGGCTAGCAGGTCATGGAGATGTGGTCAGTGGGGTCAATGATGTGTGATCAAGTTGTCTAGAGTAGCCACTTGCATATTGTCCCCAAAGAGAATATACATCAACAAAAATTAAGATGAAAGACAACATTGGTTTGCATAGAATTGCATATGCTAATTTGTATGTCTAGATAAAAGCTTATAAATGAATACTATAATGGTTAAACCAACCACTGAATTTAAGAGAACACAGGCAAAGGGATAATTTATTTACTGAAGAATGGATGTACTGGTGCAACAAGGCTCAAGATAATATGCAACCATATGTACTGTTGGAAACAAGTTTAAAGAGTAACTATTGGTCTTTACATATAATACTTTATTTGCTTATTTATTTTTGCCTGCTTGAGAGTTTGTATGCTCGTTTATTAGTTTATGCTGCATCTTTTCTTTTTTGTTTTGTTTTGCAAAGAAAATTGATAAAATGAAAATGAAAATAAGAGTAGAACACATCCCCCCATAGTGGGGAAGACTATGACCAGGTGATCTGTCTGTGTCCAGCTGCAAAGAGTCAATGGGCAACTTCAGGGCCTCGGCCTTCCCTTCTTATGGCTCTAAAGCTTTTGACTGTGCATGGAACAGACAGCATTTTAAAGAGAAGACAGTCTTCTGTAAAGCAGAACACTTGGCTATCCTAATAGAGTTCCTCTGTGTAAGCTTCTGGCTGCATCACCGCCACAGTAATTATGTCAGCATGGCAGTGTAATAAGGCAGATAATCCCTTTAAAGCAAGAAAACAAGTCAATTTTGGACATCATAAGGAAGCATCTAAATAGCAACAGCAAGTGCTAGCCAACACTGTACACAGGAAAATTGTGTCTGATGTAAAGGATAGTGACAGTCAAGAACATTGGCAAAGACAGCTGGGAGGAGCATATGGAGATTGAGTGAGGAGGGGTTGTATTAAGATTTTGAGTGAAAAACCTCTAAATGGTAAAATGGAGACCTTGGGGGACAGTGGTATGATTTAGAAGATGCTTCCCTCATAGGGTTTGTTCCCTGCCCTCATCCTAGATTACAAACGGAGGGCAGCAAGAATGATGAGGACTTTCACATCGTTCGCTGATAAGAGTAATCTCTTTTTCTTGGCACTTATATTGTCACCATCTATTGCTTCACAGGCTACTCTCCTAATAAATATCCACAGTGTATGTGTGCTGGCTTGCACACACAAACACACTTATAGTTAGAATCACCTTATTAAAATATCCATCACCATGTACATATTCTCCCGCTGAAATAGCCCTTTCATTTATCCAAATTGTTAGGATGTTGAGTTTGAGCTGCATTCAGTGGACAGTTAAATTGACTTGGGTTTGGTTGTAAGAACCAGCAACACTGGTTTCTAAAAACAGAAATATTCTCAAAGTGAAATGATCTCAGTTTTTATTTATGGCTTGTGCTGAATAGGATGTTAAGTGGGCTTTCAAATATGGTTAAACCATATTTCATGCATAAGCAGTTTCAGTTCCAATCTTTTGATTTCCTTTGTCTCTTGAGAGAGAGAAAGAAGAAGAAGCATCACTCTCAGATAATAGCACAGAACCCGTTGTTCTCCACCGCATTTTCGTGGCTTGTTATTTAACAAAGCTAGTGTCAGGCGCATTTAAGTCGGCAAGCCTTAATAGCTGTCAACCACAGCAGATGCAGGTGAGATGCTGAAATGAATAAGCTGCCTATGGTGAATTATTATGTAGTTACTGTTTCAGTGTCTTTTTGCCACTCACCTGAAACACTTACCGGGGGTGGGGAGGAAACCATATATTTATACGTTGTTTGGAGCAAAAAAACCCCCACCCTATTCTAATAATTGTTCTGTTTTCTCTTTGCCATAACTGGATCAATGGATAAAACAGAAGTCAGAAGTTACAGAGCAAGGATCACTGTATGAATCTGTAGTCTTGTATTCACAAGTTGCTTTGAATCCAGTGCATAATAGTTAAGGCAATATGTTTATGTCAATTATCTTTTCGTTTAACGGGAGAAGAGGATTTCTATCCCCCAAAAAGGTAGAGGTTGCTGAGGCTTACAAACCGAAGCATGTACCTGGTTCAAAAGACTCTTAGGCTTCTTCTGCTAAGCCCATCGGCCCATCGTTTTTTTATTCTATGGAAAGAGGATCTAGTGATGGAGCTGACAGCACAATCCTATACCCATGGACTGTTTACCCTAATCACCTCTGCCTTAGTCAAAATTGCCACCAGAAATTGTTTGTGTGAAAGGTAAAGCACATACTCATACACCCCTCAGTGCCTCCAGATATTCAAAATATTCATATTTATTTATGTAATATTTTTAATATCAAATAATAGAATTGTAGAGTTGGAAGGTACCCCTGAGCATCTAGTCCACCCCCCTGCACTGCAAGAATCTCTACTAGGCCATACATAACAGGTGGCCATCCAACCTCTGCTTAGAAACCTCCAAGTCAGAGTGGTTGTTTGCCAGACCATCCTATGTCAGGGGACCATAAGTTAGGAGAGGAACCTCCACATACAACAGTTTAGCACAGCTGTAATAAGGCTAAACATGGTTCTTTTGCAGTTTTTCTTCTGCTAGATCCTGAAAGATCTGCATTGTGCTTCCTTTATATTTTAGGACCAAGTTGCCTCATGCCCTTTTGTAAGATATAGTCTCTAAGTGTGTGGATTTAGCAAGATGGTCTCTCGGCTACTTTGCTTTACTCCAGCCTTCCCCAACCTTGGGTCTCTGGAAGCCCGAGCTGGTGGGGAAGTTAAACAGAATTCATATGGTAGAGTGGTCAGCAGGTAACTTTGCAGAGGGGGAAAGGAGTAAAAAAAATCGAGTGCTGCTTGATTTGCCTCTTTTAAAAGATTTATAGTTGCTCATGCAAAAATAAAGTTGAAAGAGACAGGTATCCTGTATCCTTTTGTATGGACTCACCAAAGCTTTTTGTGTTGTAAAACGTGATGTCTGAACCCTGAGGGTCATGGCAGCGTGCCAGTAAAATTAGCTTCTATTTCTGTTTCTTTTGTCTGGTGACCTGACCTGAGAATGCTCTGCTGGCTGCAGTGAATATGGTGGGAAAATAAGTGGCATCTAAACATAGCTGTAATTGCTAAATGCGTATTTCTTGCTTTGCATTGTGATCATTAGAGTGAGGGGGGAAACAGAACTGATAGCTGCCAATCTCAGCATTTTGATGGATGGGTAGTGCAGGTATCCATCTGTAAATGCTAGTTGAAGAAGACAACAAGGGGTGGGCATGCAGTTCAGGACATCCATCTGTGTGGGGTCTTAAATATGAAACTTTTGACTTTAAACATTATTATATTGCTGGAACCATTTTATTATTTTAGTCATTGTTGGTGGAGCTGTATTACCCTAGCGGCTTATTATAATGAATAGCCTGTTTGTTTTTCCAGATTTAGCCCTACTGGTCTTCATCATTTTGGGCATAATCACATTAAAATTTTACAGTGATCGTTACGTATTCAATACATGTTTCTGTTTACAAACCCAAGTTATAAAATTATGACTACCTTTGTGATAGATGGTCTTGCTTGCTTCCTTCCTTGCAAATAAGTTTATCCATACGCACACACCTAATAACTAGCATATGTTGATCTCCGACCTAAGTGTTTTGGACTTGCAGTGCCCTTTCTGTTTAAAAAAACAACTCAGTTCTTCCTCATTGTTGCCATTGAGTCCAGTGTGTATTCAAAATGACTTAACTGCTTGTCCTTTTATTCATGTTTGCATGGAAACAAAATATAATTGTGTTTGTTTCCTATGAGGAAATAGAACAAAATGCAGCACCAAAACGCTGCTAGATAACTCAGCGGCCAGCCTAGATCTTCAAACTGCTGCAGACCTGCTCAAAGAGCAGCAGCTGTGCCTGGATGAAAGTGGGTCTTATTGAAAAGATGGCATTCTTAGCCATGGAGAACATTATGTCTGTGCTGCTACTGTTCATCACAGAACAAAGATCTGACATCAATTTATATAGGCTGAGCAACTTCAATGTTTAATACTGTGCCTGTCTTGATTTTTGACCCTCTTTAAACTCTTGCATTCACATTAAACCTTTATGTTTAAGGTTTTTTTAAAAACACACTGCCGCTTGTTTTTCAATATTTTCTGCTGCTGCTGCTCCTTAGATAACTAGCTTGTTTGTCCCCCCATCCTTAATCAATTAGTACTTCTCAAGCCAAATTCTAACAATTAACTAGTTTATAGCGAAGCATCCCATGAGATATATTGTTTTTTGTTGTTGTTGTTTTAAAAAAATATGGCAGGTGAACCATATTGCTAATTGGTGCTAATGAATGTATATCATTTTATCATTTCCAAATTAGAAAATGACAGATGGAGAGATCTCAGTAGGAAATGTCCCCTTCAGATCGATCAGCCAAGCACCAGCATTTGGGACTGCCTGCCTGACAAAAGCGAAGAAAACGCCATCTGGCAGAGAGAGGCAGCTAGCACATGCGCAGTGACCAACTTGATCAAAGACCTCAGCCTCAGTGACCGCAATGGCAATCCCTCAGCACCTCCCAGCAAACGCCAGTGTAGGTCGCTCTCTTTTTCTGATGAGATGTCTAGCTGTAGGGCTTCGTGGAGGCCTATAGGATCAAAGGTTTGGACTCCTGTAGAAAAGAGACGGTGTTACAGTGGCGGAAGTGTCCAGCGCTATTCCAATGGATTCACCACCATGCAGAGAAGTTCAAGCTTTAGCCTTCCTTCCAGGTCAAACACTCTTTCCTCATCCTACGACCAGTCTGCATTTAGCAACAGATTAGGATGTCAGCCATGCCAAGGAATGAGAAGGTCAGCCACTTATGGGCAGGCGAGTGATATCTGGGGCAGCGACCACGGCTCTATAGAAGGTGGCAGGGTTGACATCCAGCGGTCTCTCTCCTGCTCCCATGATCAGATTTCTTTTTCGGAATATTGCCTGCCCTCAGCCAGCAGCACACCTGCCTCAACCCCAGAGCTGACAAGGCGCTCCAATGGGCTTTCCCGAAGCCGGTCCCAGCCATGTGTCCTTAATGACAAGAAAGTTGGAATTAAACGACGGCGGCCTGAAGAAGTAAAGGAACAAAGACCTTCACTGGATCTTGCCAAGATGACCCAGGTAAGAGTTAATTATATCGTATGGTTAGGCCAAACATTTACAAAACACATAAAGTATGTATTTACATTATAGACAGTGTGCAACACACTGATGTGGTAATACTGTGTAATTAACTAAAGCGGGAAGCTGGTTGAATTCTGCCCCTCCCCCCAAAAAACCTGGTTCAATTGTGTGTTTTGTTTTGCTTGCTTGGAGTAGAGGTAATTGTTTCTGGCCTTTCCTTTTATTAGTAAGAGACTGATTGTTTTTCTAATGGATTTGATATTTAGGATTATAACCACTAGCCCTCCATGCCCTAATATGAAAGGTTTCTCTTCTGAAAATTTATTTATATTCATAATTGTAACTCACTGGTCTTCAACTGGTGAATCATGGCTTGATCCAAGGGGGGCAGGGCAGGTCACAACAGGATCATGACCACCATGAACTTATATGGCAAAATATTAAGAAATGGATCCCCAAATACAAGTCTGGGTTAAAAGTGACCTCTGGGTCTGAAAAAGTTGGCGGCTGTTGCATAACTTAGTCACTTTAGATAGCTTAGATTCAGTTGAATGAAATGGTGTTTCCTATAGATAGGCAGCATAAGTTTCAGCAAGCAATGGTTTGGTTTTTAATTAAAACAAACTTATTGTAATAAATTGCAGAAGAGGTGCTTTCAAGCACATGCTGTGGGAAGCCAAGGAACACCTCAATGGTACTTAGTGTTTGTTTTATTTCTGGATGAATTCTCAAAACTGGGGACTTTGCTCTCTATGAGTGTTGACTTCAAGCAGTCTTGTCTTCTGTAATTTTCCACTTCTTTATTACGTTTCATTTTCAGTTGCGAAACAGAGGTCAAAAATTTCCCCTTTAGTCAGGAATCCAAAGTGTGAGCAGACAAGAGATCTGAAGTGCACATCAGGGAGGATGTTGCTCCCATAAATTCTTAACTTTCGGAATCCATTTGTGAGATAAGTGGCCTTTAAAATTGTGTGGTACATAACTGAGCTACAATAACCCTTCGAAGAACAGGACTACAAACCAGCTTCATCTTATTACTTAATAATCAAGGGTTTTCTTTTAATGATTCAGCATTTCTTTTGTCTGTAATTTATAGGCATACACTTGTTGATAAAATAAAGATACCCTTGTGTAGAACAGAGATAAAGTAGGGTTTATAGATCTGATACCTTCCCCCACCCTCCAGCAGCAGTGCATTAACTCTGCTTTATTGGCATAATTCCTGTTTTACTTTATTGATTTCTGCAAGCCAAAAAAAAAGCTCCCCCCATCGTTCACTTTTCACTACCTGTACTACTCTCAATATTGTTGTATGCACTTAAAACAGCTGTTGCACCGCCATGAAAATACGATCCTTTCCCATTGTTTGTATTGCTTTGGATTACAGTGACACTTCCTTAAAAAATGGTGCCAGATCATCCATTTTAATTGTATGCTGCCTTTCCATAGTCAATATGGCTCAAGATGAAATGTGCTGCATGTGCTGTTTTTGTTAGCTATTTTTGTTAACAGTGACTCTCCCAGGCAGGTACAGCTGATTAGAAAGCTGCAGTTGTCCTCTATTTCCCCTTATCCAACACAATGACTTTTGACAGTGGAAACTCATTTATTTTCGTTTTATAAGACCGTGATGCTTTGCAATACTTTTATGACTATATGGGTGATTGAATAAGTTCGTTTTCTTTTGTGTTTATGAGAATGCTTTTTCCTTCTCTAGAGAAGTTTGAAAGATAAAAAGGGTAAGAAAATAACATGCCTGGGTGATTTCAGGGGGGAAACATGCTATATTATACTGCTTGCAAGTCCCCCTTTGAAAATGTGTGTCAGTGAAATTTAATATGCTAAGCTGCTTTATTAGCTAATAAACTGGATAGGTAGTAAAAACAACCTTATTATTTTTTACGAGTCCCAAGTTGAAATCACACAGCTAGCATCACTGAAGGCCTTTTCATTTTCTTGTACTTGTGGAAACAGTTTAAATTATATAGTCATTCATGTTTGTACCCAGGTATATATAGGTTGTTTCATTTGCTCCAGGCTGGTATCCAAGGAAGTGGTAGAGGCTGGAAGCAGGAGGTGTAAAAGGGACCTCTGAATGAAACAAACCTATGTGGTTGGCTTAGTTTTTCATCTGCAGGGCTCCAGGTACATCAGGCATACATTAAAGCAGTACATTGGAGGCTTATAATTGCTGTAGCATTGTAAGCAGCTCTGGAATAGAGTTAAGTGTCCATGATTCTGCAAACATGTGTCCTCTTAAAATTGTGATAGGAAAATTTGTGGCAGAAAGTTATGTGTTTACCAGGAAAAGTGATGGCAAGAGAGCAGTAAAATGGAACTAGTGTCACCTTTACCACCATGTAGATTACCATGGTTATGAGTTGGATCCTGACAAAGGGTACTTTTGGATGGGTGTTTATTGTGGGGTCAATGCTGCTCATGGACTGCTCAGCACCACACAAAACCCAAAGGGTAAATTTAGTGTGGATTTGCCCTTTCAACATAAAATCCATTTTTTAAAAAAGTTTCATGCCAGTGACCTGTTTATGATAGCTGATTGACCCATCTGCAATATTCACTCCCAGTATGGAAGCACCCAAAGTTAGTTGAACATGGGCTTCAGTAGAATATGACTCAAGTTCCATCGCTGAGTGGAGGCTGGTCCATTCATGAGGCACTGCCCCATCAACCTTCATCTGACCTCAGTCTGTCCTCACCTGCTTGCCTTCTTAACTTCCAATAAGTACTGGAGGTGGCACTGCCTGTAGCAACTTCATCTTCCTCACTGTTAAGAGCTGCTTTCAGAACTCAGCAGCAGGAGGAAGAGGGGACAGAATTAGATTTGGCTTGCTACTTGCCATTGGCTCTGGTTGCACTTACCCTTCCTTCTAGCCTACTAGTCTAAATGGGGACCAGCCACCACTACCCTTGATTTCACTGGGCAGCTAAGCCCAACATGCGTATTCTGGATCCAACCCAAATGGGTTCAGTCTGTGCTCAGTTTAAATGGAGGTTCTGTAGTAGTTCTACACCACTGAATGGAGTTGGCACAGCAGCATTACTTTGTGGATTTTTCATATTTCATTACTGCGGGGGGGTGGGGGCTGGATCCAGTTCCCGGGCTGTATCCTCACCTCCCCAAACCCCTTCTGTCACCTGATGTGACCCATTTTCCTGTGCCTTTGTCATTTGAAATCAAGCTGCTCCAGCAAAGGAACAGATTTTGGCAGAGAGCCACATCTTTACATCCCATACCCATATATGACATCAGGTGTAGGGCAAATGGGCTTGGCCAAATCAGCCTTGCTGGCCAAATAGGGGTGCCTGGCTTGCCTGATTAGGCTGCATGTTCTCCATCACTGCTTTTTTGAAATGATTCATATGAGTTAGGATTCACGAGTGTTGGTATGGATTTCCCTGTCTTGGCTTAAATAAAACAGCAAGTTGACATTAAATTTTACTGTTTTGCTTTGCCAACCTTCATAGGCACAATATAATCCAGCAGCTGTGTGCCAGTTCACACATCATACTTTTAATGAGGGCCAAGATGCTGGGATATTGGAACCCAAGTTTGGGGCAAGTGGCAGAACCTCAGCAGAGATTAACATCACAAAACATGCTGCAAACAAAAGTGTGGAAAAACCTTTAAAATCTGCCCTTCCAGTGAGTCCCCAAAATGTTCGCTTTTGAAAGCTCTTTCCAAGCTATCCCACTTCCTTGGCATAGAGATATACCACATGTTTGCTAAGGCATAAAATGGTTTACTTACAAAACTCTTCAAAGTTCAGATTCATGTGCTTTTCCATACAGCAGTCAGAAAAGATGCACAGGCAGTCAAAACGTTGCTTAGTTACAAAAGGTAAAAGTTTTGGAGTAGAAAAAAGCTTTAGTTTCAGACTCAATTCTGATCTGAAACAAACAAGTCTGGTTAAAGCCATGTGGCTGGAGTGACCAGCTCAGAGCTCCTTGAACATACTGAAGAACATACTTGGAGAAAGAGATAGAGAGAGAGAGATTATAAAGGCTTCCTGATCTATTTCCTCTCAAGGTGGGAAGTGATAACATAGGCTAAGCCTGGCAGGACTGCTTACTCTATGGTTTAACATCTTCATGCACCAGTTAGATACAAACATATATGAGGCTGGAACCCTACACAAAGTAGGTAAGATGTAGGAGGGGTATATGAGCAGCCTCTTGATATGTGCTGTGTTTACTGAAATCCTGTCTGTAGGGGACTGTGAACTTGAATGGAGCAGTGTGTGTGTGTGTGTGTGTGTGTGTGTGTGTGTGTGTGTGTGTTCCTTTTCCTAGAGGCCAATTGTTCTTATGAAAATTGTAAGAGAAAATATTTGAAGGGCCTCCTATCTTCTGCCATGCAGGCAGAAAGCAGCTTGGAAGGGAAGAGATTTTGATTGGAAAAACAACCTGTAGGGAAAGAGTTAAGCATTCCCTGCACCATTCCAATCAAACCCACAGGCTCCTACAGCTCCATTGAAGCAAAAAACAAAAATGTCAGTAGACATCCCATGCATCTCCCACCTCTTTGGACCTCAGTAACTCCATGTAAGCTAACTTCCTCTGCCTGGGATGCTGAAGAAAAGAGAAACACACTCCTGTTTGGAAGATAATTTGTGCAATTACTTTTAAGTTGCAGTCTTTCTTGTAATTATAGTATTGTGCTTTAAGCTAAAAGCCCTTGCTTTATGCATCTAGATATTCCCCAAATTACTTCTTCTTCCCCTATTAATTTTAGTGCTTTGCTGATCTGAATCCAAAATACTTAGATATTCCCACATTTTTCCTGGCAATTGTCAGGCAGGAAGAACAGAGCTCAGCCCCATGCTAACAATTGGGTACATAAAACAGCCATATTATAAGTACTGTTTTCACACTCTAAACATACTTGGCGTTTGAATGTGCCCCCAAGCAGTGATGGTGCACTATATCTGACAGTGACGAAGAACAGCACAATATGTTCCTCTGTACAGCAAGGTTCC